GTTGATGAGCTGGTTCAACAGCCAGGGTCAGGGGAAAGTTGGAGACGACAGGGTGGTTGGGGATGGGGGGGAGGAGGTGTAGTAGAGTGCTATCCGCTGGGTTACATCAGTTGTTGATGAGCTGGTTCAACAGCTAGGGTCAGGGGAAAGTTGGAGACGACAGGGTGGTTGGGGATGGGGGGGAGGAGGTGTAGTAGAGTGCTATCCTCTGGGTTACATCAGTTGTTGATGAGCTGGTTCAACAGCCAGGGTTAGGGGAAAGTTGGAGACGACAGGGTGGTTGGGGATGGGGGGGAGGAGGTGTAGTAGAGTGCTATCCTCTGGGTTACATCAGTTTTTGATGAGCTGGTTCAACAGCCAGGGTTAGGGGAAAGTTGGAGACGACAGGGTGGTTGGGGATGGGGGGGAGGAGGTGTAGTAGAGTGCTATCCTCTGGGTTACATCAGTTTTTGATGAGCTGGTTCAACAGCCAGGGTTAGGGGAAAGTTGGAGACGACAGGGTGGTTGGGGATGGGGGGGAGGAGGTGTAGTAGAGTGCTATCCTCTGGGTTACATCAGTTTTTGATGAGCTGGTTCAACAGCCAGGGTTAGGGGAAAGTTGGAGACGACAGGGTGGTTGGGGATGGGGGGGAGGAGGTGTAGTAGAGTGCTATCCTCTGGGTTACATCAGTTTTTGATGAGCTGGTTCAACAGCCAGGGTTAGGGGAAAGTTGGAGACGACAGGGTGGTTGGGGATGGGGGGGAGGAGGTGTAGTAGAGTGCTATCCTCTGGGTTACATCAGTTTTTGATGAGCTGGTTCAACAGCCAGGGTCAGGGGAAAGTTGGAGACGACAGGGTGGTTGGGGATGGGGGGGAGGAGGTGTAGTAGAGTGCTATCCTCTGGGTTACATCAGTTGTTGATGAGCTGGTTCAACAGCCAGGGTCAGGGGAAAGTTGGAGACGACAGGGTGGTTGGGGATGGGGGGAGGAGGTGTAGTAGAGTGCTATCCTCTGGGTTACATCAGTTTTTGATGAGCTGGTTCAACAGCCAGGGTCAGGGGAAAGTTTGAGACGAGAGGGCGGTGGGGGTGGGGGGAGGAGGTGTAGTAGAGTGCTATCCGCTGGGTTACATCAGTTGTTGATGAGCTGGTTCAACAGCCAGGGTCATGGGAAAGTTGGAGACGACAGGGCGGTGGGGGTGGGGGAAGGTGGGATTGAGGGGTAGGTTAAGTTGGATCTGAATGGACACGACAACACTGTCTGACAGAAGCACGGGCGACAAGAGTCTCCAGCCCTTGTTTGAACACAAACAAACGCTCAATAGTACACATTTTTTGTTCCGATTTTATTTATTTTTATTTTTTTTTCCGCTTTGCAATAAGTCACAACTTTAAAAGTGAGAAAATATAAAATACACCAGGCCTTAACCGGGTGAAATTTAAAACCGGGTCCGGGTATTTTGAGACAATACCCGACGGGTCCAAGTGTGCAACGAAATCTACTTCCATATGTCGTAAAGAGATGTGAAAAAAACGGTGACATCAAAAAAACCCCCCCACAAATATTCCTTTCTAATGATAATATAAATAAACCTATTCACCGGAGTGCGCACTTGATGCATGAAGCAAGCTCACTGCATGGCCGAGGAACACGAACAATAACACCAACCCCATAATGGTCGCCTCCCCCTAAAGAAACAAACGCCATCTACTTAGCGGAGTTAAGACGTCACGTATGAAGCTCGCTGCCTGGCTGAGGAACACGAACAATAACACCAACCCCATAATGGTCGCCTCCCCCTAAAGAAACAAACGCCATCTACTTAGCGGAGTTAAGACGTCACGTATGAAGCTCGCTGCGGGGCTGAGGAACACGAACAATAACACCAACCCCATAATGGTCGCCTCCCCCTAAAGAAACAAACGCCATCTACTTAGCGGAGTTAAGACGTCACGTATGAAGCTCGCTGTGTGGCTGAGGAACACGAACAATAACACCAACCCCATAATGGTCGCCTCCCCCTAAAGAAACAAACTCCAGCTACTTAGCGGAGTTAAGACGTCACGTATGAAGCTCGCTGCGCGACAGTCCTTTTGTAAACTCAGAACTCTTAATATGAAACATAATGGAGTTGAGTTTGGAAGAAGAAGCCGGACACACCTGAAGCGATATGTATACAAGAGATATACAATACCCCAAATTTTTTTTTTAAACAGCAAGACTTCGTACGCCTAATGTCTGTAGAGAGATTTGACGCGTCGCCTTAGTTTCGAGTGTCTGGTTTCATTTCATCGTTTCGAAAATCGAAATTATTAACAGTGGACATTTAACAGCGATCGTCAGCAGTTTAGTCCAAGCGGGTGCGATTGTTCTTTGGAGTGTACCGTTAAGTCCAGGTGGGTACGATTGTTCTTTGGAGTGTACCGTTAAGTCCAGGTGGGTACGATTGTTCTTTGGAGTGTACCGTTAAGTCCAGGTGGGTACGATTGTTCTTTGGAGTATACCGTTAAGTCCAGGTGGGTACGATTGTTCTTTGGAGTGTACCGTTAAGTCCAGGTGGGTACGATTGTTCTTTGGAGTATACCGTTAAGTCCAGGTGGGTACGATTGTTCTTTGGAGTATACCGTTAAGTCCAGGTGGGTACGATTGTTCTTTGGAGTATACCGTTAAGTCCAGGTGGGTACGATTGTTCTTTGGAGTATACCGTTAAGTCCAGGTGGGTACGATTGTTCTTTGGAGTATACCGTTAAGTCCAGGTGGGTACGATTGTTCTTTGGAGTATACCGTTAAGTCCAGGTGGGTACGATTGTTCTTTGGAGTATACCGTTAAGTCCAGGTGGGTACGATTGTTCTTTGGAGTATACCGTTAAGTCCAGGTGGGTACGATTGTTCTTTGGAGTATACCGTTAAGTCCAGGTGGGTACGATTGTTCTTTGGAGTATACCGTTAAGTCCAGGTGGGTACGATTGTTCTTTGGAGTATACCGTTAAGTCCAGATGGGTACGATTGTTCTTTGGAGTATACCGTTAAGTCCAGGTGGGTACGATTGTTCTTTGGAGTATACTGTTAAGTCCAGGTGGGTGCGATTGTCCTTTGGAGTGTACTGTAAAGTCCAGGTTTGGTACGATTGTCCTTTGGAGTATACTGTTAAGTCTAAGCAGATGCGATTGTCCTTTGAAGTGTACTGTTTGAGGTAATTAGAAGCTTTGACAAGCACATTCTTTCAGGGCAACAGTCGATTGTAAAACTGTGTTTTAATGGCAGTAATTAATTTGGGGGGGGGGTAATGGACTGGCTGTGTCGGTAATGGACTGGCTGTGTCGTGAAAGCCGCGAAGGTTATAACAGAATATGATGACTTTGTTTCAAAGAATATTTTTCAAGTCTATGCTATTTAGAACCATAATCTCAGGACCTTCCTCCTTAACACTGTCTGAGGGCTTTTTTCCCTTAAAACCTATTTGAGGTCTTTCTTCCTAAGCCCTGCGATTCCCAACTTCCCAAACCCACCTTATTGAGCTCGCACAGGCCTTGCTTCCAACTCACAACCTTTTTAAGGCCACAGACCTTGCTTCCAATTCACAACCTTTTTAACGCCACAGACCTTGCTTCCAACTCACAACCTTTTTAACGCCACAGACCTTGCTTCCAACTCACAACCTTTTTAACGCCACAGACCTTGCTTCCAACTCACAACCTTTTTAAGGCCACATAGCCTGCTTCCAACTCATAAAACCCACCTTATTGAGGCCACAGAGCCTGCTTCCAACTCACAAACCCACCTTATTGAGGCCACAGAGCCTGTTTATCACGTGACGGCGAAGACGACTCATGTACGACGGCAATCGTGATTTAAATAGCGGATCCGACAATAATTGAGGATCATGCCATGGACGCACAAAAATCTTCGCGTGTGGATATCGGAACCCGAGTCAAGTCAAAGGATCTTCGGAAATGTATGTCAGTAGTTAAGCGCGTGGATGTTGACGATAACTGGACCCCAAAAAAAAAAGGAAGTGAGTGGGGGGTGTTAACGGATCGTCGTGTTTAGTGGACGTGGAATGGTGCCCGGTGGTGATGGTAGGGGGGTTATTGGTAGAAAGCTACAACGTTAACCCGTTATTGTAGCACGGGCGAACAACATTTGGCTGGGCGATCCACATTTTTGTTTCGTTTTAAGGTAAGCCTACAGCAACCAGCAACACACAATTGGTGGAGGATCTCGTTGCCTTCTGGATGGCCTGGCTTCTATCTCCGAATGTTATACATTGGGTACAGACACTGTGCTTGGAGTTAGACCGAAAAGTAGGTTTGTATCACACGATGATACAGTAGTGTACAGTAGTGACTCACTCAGTTGACGAAGGTTACAACAACAACATCAACAACAAACTGCACCCGTAGATGGGTGTACTCGTTTACATTGTGGGCGTTGGCTCATCTAAAAAAGGAGGAGAATACCGATAACAAAAACAACATTCCACTCCCCCCCCCACACACACACACAAACTTTGTTTTTTCCAAGAGAGTTCCGGCAAAGCCGACAGTGCTGACAGACTGCCCATGAGAAGAAAGGGCATCAACTCTCTTTCTTGGCGACTAGACCTTCCTGAAATGCCCCCTGACGTGGGGTGTATGGGGGTGGGGGTTCTTGTGCGCAGGCGCCCTAAAAAGTCAAATATTCATGCAAAATATATGTATAAGTATATGTTTTGTTAGAGGAGTGAAGACGCGCCAAAATTTAGGCTTTGACCCGGGCGCAGATTTCGCTATAGGTGGCCCTGCTCCTTCCGTATAAGCCGCTGGAACAAAGAAGAAGATCACTTGAAGAATGACTGTACCCATAAACATAGAATTGAGGTCCATGCGCATAATATTAAGTGCTGCGGCTAACGAAGGACTAACACTCTGGTTAATTACACGCCCTCTTGCCACGGATCTGCCCCCCCCCCGGGCACCTGTCCATGACAGCAAAAAGCCAACAGCACTGATCGATCACGAGCGACAGACAAACACCAATACTCACCGATGGTCGTGATGACCGTCAGAGCAAAGTAGAAGGCGCCGGCGAATTTCCACTGGGTCCCGGCCTTGTAGGGCACCGACCGGATGATGTTCTTCCGGAGGCGCTCCAGGTCGGGCTCCGTGATGTTGTACCGGTCCCGTATCTCGTTCTCCTCCAGCTCCAAATCCTTCCGCTTCGACTCCTCGAACTCGCTCTCCAGAGCGTCAAAGACGGCGGCGCCGACGAGCAAGTAGGTGAACGTGCAGACGATCAACGAGAGGGTGCGCACATTTTGCTTCTTCATTGTAAGCATGGAGGCGGGGCGCGGGGGGTGGAGGCATGTGTGCTCTCCGCCCTGTAGGGGGGTCGAATGACCATCGACGGGAGGAAGTGAAGTTAAGAGAAGAAGGTTGCGACTGGGTTGGGAGCGGTTGTCAAAATGGCGGCTGGCAAGCAAAGAGGGGTGATTTGGTTGGTGGATTTGTTTCCAATCTGAAGAGGTTGAGTTAATCCAATCAGAATTTCAAATTTGAAGATGTAGCTCTTTTTTTGTTTTTTGCACTTCCCCGAGGTAAGAGAATTCAGACCACGGATTTCTTGCTATACAAAAAACAACAAAAAAACAAAAGATTTCGATTGGTCACACTGAAGCTAGTGATAGCTCTGCAGGTCAACGCCGAACACAAGTGGTGGTCAAGAGATTTGCGGTGAAGACTTCAACTAATCCGCCTTTTCACCGTTTCTAACAGTAGATAACAAATCTGGTAAAATTACATGTATTGACTTCACAATATTAAACAACAACTCAACTATGTAAACTTTGAGAATCCGTTGCTTGGCCTCACATAGTTTTCAAATGTATTGATATAGTGGTATCATTTTAAAAAAAAAAAATTTTTTTGAATATTCAAACGATAATTCTATTAATTGAAATGTCATGTTGTTTTTATATATATATATATATATATATATATATTTTTTTTTTTATATAATAAAAAAAAAAAAAAAAAAAAAAAAAAAAAAAAAAAAAAAT